ACAGAAACCTGTATCTTATTGCTGCTGAGAGCTTTGCAGTCACATCTCCCTGTGGTGGGACTGACAGCTGTGTTACTGTGGGCATATTGCTCAACTTCCCTGAGGCAGCTTCTTTTTACTTAAAAACGGGGCACAACCCAGCCTGGCCCCTAGAGATGTTGGGGAGTCAGCGTGTGGCTGATAGATGCAGAGCTCTTAGCCGCTGGGGTACTTGGGAAATGGGAAGCATCATTACTCGGGGCACTAAGGCGACTTCGGGGGCCCCCTCTCGTCATTCTCCTTACCCATCCACCACCTTTTCTTCTCCCTGCCGACTCACTTTTTCTCCCTGCTCTTCATTTCCCAGGCCTGAGACCAATGCCTGCAGGTACGAGGAAGCCTCTGTTTGCATAGGGCTGGGATACCCAGAGGGGAGGCTGGGGCACCCATAGGATGAAAAGGCCACTGGAAATGCCATTCCACTTCCCCTCAGCTTTTCAGATGCACTCTGTGAACCTCATCTAGTCTCTTGGTCAGCAGGAGCAAAATCAGCCATAATTAGCTCACACTGCACCCACCCCCTACCCCACTCCACCCGACCAGGGCTGAGAGACATCACAAAAATAAACTCCACGAGAGTATTCTTTATAGCCCAATGCACAGAACTGGCAGTGCCATGTGGACATCACCGTGGGTGGTGTACATACCCACCATACCTAAGCACCTAGCTGGGCAGCTGGGAGAAGGGTTGCTCTAGGGACCTGGGACCCCAGAGAGGGTGGGTCGGTGGGACGGGGACACAACCTCAGCTGGCTTAGAGGAGAAAGGGGCTCAGTGCCCAGGCTCAGCTCAGTCTGGCTTGGGGGACCATCCAGGCCTGGCTTGGCACCAGTGGTTTGGTTGGGGACAGGTCTGGAAGGCTCCATACCTCTAATCTTCAAATGCTTCTGGGTCTGTCTTGCACCTGGAGGGCTGGTCTAGAGGCCTTCTGTCCACAGGGGTAGCTTAGTTTGTTTCCTTTGAAGGCCTGTGTCTCTCTGTGGGGGGATAAGGGTCATGTGGGTTGGGTGACTGGTTTGCTCGGGCTTTAGTCCTGAAAGTCCTGCCTCCTAGGAGGACACTCAGTCCTGGGCAACTGGAAGGGGTGTCCACCTGGTGGGATGTATCACATCATGTGTGAATCTCGGGCCAGATCCCTGCAGGAAAGCAATGTGGCTTTAGGATGTGATAGGGCCCTTGGGGATGCAGCCTTGCTGGGGGAAAAATGAACTAACCATGTCCCACCACCAGAATTGATGTTGGTGCTGCTTAGAGGTTTCTCACAACGCCTAATGAATGGGGAGCTGGACCAAGCCTCTGTCTTCCAGAGTACTGTGGCTAGCGGGGTCAAAGTGGACTTATCCCAAATGGGGATGCCTTGGAGTGGCTTCCTGCCTTTGTCCAGGAGACCCTCTCCCGCCCAGATTCCACAGGAGAGCACTAGAGCCTTGGCCCCACCCCGTCCGTCCCTGGCAGGCTGCAGCACGCCCGGCCAGAGAGCACCTTGCCAACCTTTGCCTCTAATTGCTCTCTCTGCACACAGCCACTTCCTCTGCTTGCAGCAGAACTCATAAAAAGGGAGGCTCTTCTTCATACCTTTGAAAAGTTCAAAGGAACCCATTTCCTAGGGGAGATTGGTCATGCAGTCACTGGGATCAGAGGCTGCTGAGGACGCTGGTCATGAGCTGCTGCTGACCTGGGCCCAGCTGCCCTGAACTGCACCCCTGCCCTGTGACTGCTTTTCAGTGTCAACATCCTGTGCTCTAGGGAAGTCCAATCTCTGTCAAGACCAGCTCTGTTCTGTTTTGGGATCAATCCGCACCCCTTAACCTTGCACTGCATCTTACAGAGGGAGCCCCCGTAGCTGTGAAGGAGGCCATGAAACACGTCAAGCCTATCCTAGAATAGTAGATGACAAAGCCACACCCAGCTCTGGCGAGGCACTCACCTTGCCCCATCAGATGCTTGCTCCACTGCTCTGCGCCTACCGCCCCTGCTGTTCCACAGGGCCCCAATCCTGGCTTTGATTGGGCGATAGAGCGATGTAAGCTTACGTGAGTGCAAGTCACAGCTGTGTTCAGATTGGGAGTAGGGTTTCTGGTTCTTTGGCACGGCTCTTGGGCAAACTCCAGCTCTTCCCCGGCATCCAAATTGGTAGTGTATGTTCATGAACATCTCAGACAGAATGCTAGATGCTGACCAATAGGGAGTTTCTGGGAGAAAATGAAACAGTTTGTGCTCTCTGTTCCAGCTGAAGGGGCTCAGGCAATGCTTGTTGAACAAATACGTACATTCTACTTACAGAATAGGAAACAGATCTCTAAGGGGAACCTGATTTAACTTGGGGGTATGTAGAAACAGGATAGGGCTAGATTGGAAGGAAAAACACTCATTTCTAATATACTGTCTTCTCCTGATGACCTTTACTCTCCTCTACCACCCAACAAGCCAAGTGGTGGGAGTCAGATATGCATATTAAATAGCATGTGCAGTGGAAGGCTGGCCAGCGCCTTCACCATTCCGAAACCTCTGCCCTGCAACCCCCGGCTGCTGTTGCAACACACACACACACACACACACACACACACACACACATGCGTGCACACGCACACACACACAAACACATGCACACACACGTGCGCACACAAGCACACATGCTCAAACACACACAAACACATATACTCAAACACACACAAACACAAACTTACACAAACACAACCCAAGCATGCACACAAATATACACAAACATATGCACGCTCAAACACACATGCACACAAATATATGCAGACACACTTGTGCTTACAAACTAAACACATATACATTAACACACTCTACATACACACATAAACATACCCATCTGTACATGAACATATATGTGCAAACACACTGCACACACGCATACGCACCCCTTTCCACCACTTGAGGGGTTGGGATATGAGAGAAGACGTGAACTTTTCATCTGCACTTCACTACAGCATGCTGTACAATTGTTCTGTAGGAATTTTGGATGCATGTCATTGAAATTGCTGTAAGTTTCACTTGATAACAATAGTTTAATGCTATAAAAATATCCATGTATCCTTGCGATGGTTTGTAGCGTCTGAAATGTGGTCATCTGTTCCACGTTTAAAGAATTCGAGGCAGCATTACTCTTGAAGGCCTTTTGTTATGAGTTTGCTTCTCAAAGTCATCTTCCGAATCCTGCTGTGCTGAGCGTCACCTCAGCTCAGCCCACTTATGAATTTCATTGCTGAGCTCTGAGCACAGGTCGTCTGGCAGCATTTCTGATTGCAACCAGTTTTGCGCACTGAGATCACCCTGCTGACCACAGGCAGTGGCTCCCAGCAGTGTGAGGATATGTGTGGGGCCTGCTTTTGTGACTACGCATTCACTCTTCTGGGGACAGACAGTGGCTCTTGCTGTCTCAATGCCACTGGAAGAACTCCAAAGGGCGCCTGGAGGACTGGCTTGGACTTTCAGTTCTGTCACTTATGAGTGTGTGACCCTGGACACGTTATGTATCTCTCTGCCTCTCGGTACTGTGACCTGGGTATAGTTAACACCTGCTTTTGAGGTCTAGTGAGGAATAAATGAGACACTTCAGTGAAACAGCTGCACTGATTTTACAGTTCTCAGTTCTGACCCATGAATCAAGTAGATTTCATTTCATTATGACTGACATTTTAAAAAATTTAGAATAGATAATGAGTATAACATTTCATTATGGGGTGATGAAAATGTTCTAAATTAGATTGTGATAATTGTACAACTCTGGCAATGTACAAAAATCTACTGAGCTGTGTACACTTTAAATGGGTAAATTTTCTAATACATAAATCATGTCTTAATAAAGTGGTTATAAAATAAAGAGCCCTTAAAAAACCATCAAGCTCTACATTTGGGATTCGTGAACTTTATTATGATATGTTAGACCACAATTAAAAAATTTAGTTGAGCGTGTTGGCTCACACCTTTAATCCCAGCACTTTGAGAAGCTGAGGGGATGGATCCCTTGTGGTCAGCAGTTCGAGAATAGCCTGGCCGATAAGGCAAAACCCCTTTTCCACTAAAAATACAAAAAATTAGCCAGGCATGGTGGTGTGTGCCTGTAATGCCAGCTACTTGGGATGCTGACTGGGAGAACTGCTTGAACCCAGGAGGCAGAGATTGCAGTGAGCTGAGATTGTGCCACAGCACTCCAGCCTGGGTGACCGAGCAAGACTTCGTCTCAATTAGAAAAAAAAAAGATACAGGCTGGGCATGGTGGTACATGCCTGTAACCCCAGCACTTTGGGAGGCTGAGGTGGGAGGATCTTGAGACCAGCCTGGATAATATAGTGATCTCTGTATCTACAAAAAAAAAAAAAAAAAAAAAAGATAAAAAATAAAATTTAATTGAGTGTAGTGGAACACAGCGCACACAGGTAGTCCTGCCTACTTGGGAGGCTGACACAGGAGGATCGCTTGAGCCCAGGAGTTTGAGTTTGCAGTGAGCTATGATCACACCACTGCATACTATTCTGCGAGATGGAGCAAAAACCTGTCTCTAAAAAATTAAAAAAAAAATAGACATAAGAAATAAAATAGAAAATATCAGAGTGCTTCACATGTAGTAATAATTACCATCATTTTCATGAACTCTCTGTGTAAATATGTGTATGCATGTGTGTGTGTGTGTGTACTGGGCTGCAATAAAAATGTGTTTCTTACAGAGAGAGGGCTGTTGCTTTAAACATCCATTGGCCTCGTGCCTACCAGGTCAGAGCAGACGTTTAACTGGTTATTTATGCCCGTTCTCCTCTTCCTTTCCAGAAATGCAAATAAAGAGGAAGAACACACCCATGTTCAGTAATTGACTTTGACTTCACAGTGTTGGCCTGTTTTCTGACAAAACAGAGCAGAAACTCTGACTAGCTGGAGGAGCCCTGTTACCACCCCCTTCTGTGTGTAAATGTACACACATGTGCATGCACACAATTAAATCAGGCTTTCTTTTTCTAGTTAAATAAACCCCACACTCACCAAAGGAACAAATAGTTGGCCTATTCCCAAAGAAAATGTGCCTCCAGGCTTCTGGTTTTGGAGGTTTTGCAGTGTTTACTTTCCAGTGATCTCCACTTGACTCCTTCCCTCTTTCATTTGGTTGTAAATACCACAATTTAAACTAGCTACCTGCTGCTGTGACCCTGGGTGGGAGTTTGTCTTGACGGAAATGGCAGGCCTCCCTGGCCCCTTCCTCCCCTAGGTGAGTGTGGAGTGGAGGGGGGTGGGCAGACCTGGCCGCAGGCAGGAACACGGCTGTCTCCAGGGTGAGTGTGGGACAGGGACCACAGCCACTGCCACAAGCAGGACTTGGACCCTGTGCTCAATCAAGGTAAATAGATGAAGTCATCCAGTACCTGGCGACTTTTTGAAGATGGAGCAGTATAAATAGCCTTGGGAAGACTATTTCATTAGGGATGAAACACTTGTGTTTCTGTTGCTTTCTGATGATTATTTCTCTTTGGTTGCTTGCCCCTGTGACACATTTCAGTAACTGCCAGATGGGCCTCGGGTGGATGTGTCCAATGTTGGACACACATTCCTATTTGTCCTATTGAGTTAGAGTTTTTTTTTTTTCTTACTTTATTTTTTGTATATTAGTCCAAATTAGCTCTCTGCTAGTGACGTGACTTGCAAATGTATTTTCTAGTTTGTCATTTGTCTTTTAGATTTATTTATATTGGTTTGCCCTACAAACTTAAAAATGTAGTTGATTGGATCAGTCTTTTTATTTGTGGCTTCTGCTGTGTTTTGTGCTTAGATTTGTTTAAATACCAAGATTATTTAAAAAATAGCCCATAAGCATTCTAACACTTTTGATTTAATTTTTTATATTAAAAATTTAAATCCATGTTAAATGTATCCTGGTATAAGATGTGAGGTGTGAATTCAACTTCATTTCCCCCGCAGATGGTTATCCAATTGTTCTAACACCATCTTTTATGCACTGATTTGAAGGGCTGTCCTTTTCATATACTAAATTATCACTTATGCTTGTGTTTATGGGCTTTTTATTCTGTCCCACTTATCTGTCTATTTCTCATCAATACCATTTCAACGATTAGTTGTGAAATGTCAAATGTTTGTCCAGGATGACCCATTATTACTGTTCTTTTTCAGAAGTTTCCTGATTACTTTGCTTGTGTATGTCTACATATGAATTTTAGGATCAGCTTATCTAGTTTAAAAATCTCATTATTTTATTGGGATAGTTTATTTATGGGGTATTTACTTATGGAGTGAGTTAGGGAGAAATGACATTTATGGTGTTTCCGATTTCCCACTCCATTAATATGTTATGCCTTATTATTTGCTCAGGATTTTTTTAATGTGCCCAGTGGTAACTACCTTTTTTTTTTTTTTGAGATGGGGTCTCGCTCTGTCACCCAAGATGGAGTGCAATGGCCGTGATCTTGGCTCACTGCAACCTCCGTCTGCTGGGTTCAAGTGATTCTTCTGCCTCAGCCTCCTGAGTAGCTGTGATTACAGGCGCCCCCCATCACACCTGGCTAATTTTTGTATTTTTAGTAGACACAGGATTTCACCCTGTTGGCCAGGCTGGTTCTGAACTCCTGACTTGAGGTGATCGGCCCACCTCGGCCTCCCAGAGTTCTGGAATTACAGGCGTGAGCCACTGCGCCTGGCCCCAGTAGTAACATTTTAAAGTTTTTATTTCATATAGATCTTAATAGTTTCTTGTTGAGTTTATTTCTAAGTAGTTTTTCTTTTTTCTATTGGGAATTACTGTTTAATCTTCTAACTGTGATTTGTATTTATTGAAAGCTATTGAATTAATTATTTCTCCATATTAATTTTAAAAGCAGTCACCTTACTGAAATTCTTATTTGTGAAATAAGAACACTGGGTGAGCATTTGAATAATTAAAAATTATTTTTTTTCTCTTTTAATGTTTATTCAAGCAGTAAATTCCTTATACTGGTCAGTTCAAGTTTTTTTTGTCTTGTGCAGTGACTATGTTAACTACATTTTATTTTGGCAGAACTTATTCGCCAATTTGTCACTGATGTCTCTCTAGTTGTATGATGTGTTAGGAGTTTTATGTTATTTATGCCAATGCCATTATTTTGTGTCAAATCAGCACAAAATTTAAATATTTTTCCAGTGAATTCAGTGATGCATTTTTCTTTTCTTTTTTTTTTTTTTAACCAATTGAATTATAAAATAACACAAGAGCCTAATAATTATAATCCATTACTTCTTCTGGAGAGCTATTTCTTCTTATTTAATGAATTATTGCTTTTCGTATAGTCTCAAATTTCTCTCTCTCTTTCTTTCTCTCTCTCTTTTCTTTTTTTTTTAATGGAGTCTGTCGCCCAGGCTGGAGTGCAGTGGTGTGATCTCAGCCCACTGCAACCTCTGCCTCCTGGGTTCAAGTGATTCTCCTGCCTCAGTCTCCTGAGTAGCTGGGACTACAAATGTATGCCACCATGCCCGGCTAATTTTTCTTTTTTGTATTTTTTAGTAGAGATGGGTTTTCACCGTGTTAGTCAGGATGGTCTCCATCTCCTGACCTCATGATCCGTCCCCCTTGGCCTCCCAAAGTCCTGAGATTACAGACATGAACCTCCGTGCCCAGCCTGAAATTTCTTTTAGTTACAATTTCCTTTTTGATAAAGAAATAATTTTCATCGATTTGTTTGCTTCTAATTGTTGCTTTTGTTTCATAATCCATTAATTTTGTATATGGGTTTTCTCTTACTTTCTTAACAAATAAGCTTAAAGATGAGCAAAGAAAATCCCTTTTATATGTGTCCAAATGGGGAATATGTAATTATGTTCCAAAACATCTTTCAATTACAGTCATAATGGTATATTTAAGATTTAAGACGATTTTGAATAAACATTTTGCTTTTTATTTGTGTTCAGGTTTCTCATTTCTGTCTGTGAAAATACATTTTAGAGACATTAAAAAAATGTTTAGTCAAGTTGCAGGCTTTGAATAGTGCATTTTAGGACCCTGATGAGAGCTGGGGACTCATTCAATTTGAATTCAGTGGTTTGCAGTCACTTCTGTGCAGTCAGTTGCTGCTGGCTGTCCTGGTCTGGGGTGGCTCCCAGGAATGCCTTACTGCCCATTCCTACTGCTGACCACAGTGGTGCAGAAACTGGTCCTGTGACCACTGCTGCAATGCCACTAGGCAAGATGGGAAGTGCGAGGAAGTTAAAGTCAAAATAAGAGTGAGTAGTCCTCACAGATTGCAGTTAAAATCTACAATTTTTGCAAATTTTCCATAACATAGGGGGACACATGAGCACATCACTGGAGCCCTTCACAGGCCTCTGAAGGAAGGATGGCATGGGTGAAGGGCTGAGGAATGGGCCTCTCTAGCTTTAAAAACTGCCTCTGCTGATTGTGCCTGCGTGGGCCTCACAGCTTCTTTAGTTTCTCTTGGAGAATCAAAGGTCCTTTGTTGACTTTTAATCACGAAACTTCATCTCAATGAGGTCATCAGGATGTCCAGGCCCATGTAACAAGAAAACTTCTAACTTGATTCAAAGTTACACCAGCTGGGACCTTCCGCATTTCAGAACCTGGGATGGGGTTATAAACCATTTGTTCTAAGAATATATATACATATTTTTTTGGAAATGGAGTCTTGCTCTGCCACCCAGCCTGAAGTAGAGTGGCACCATCTCAGCTCACCGCAACCTTTGCCTCCTGGGTTCAAGTGACTCTCCTGCCTCAGCGTCCTGAGTAGCTGGTATTACAGGCATGCACCACCACACCCGGCTAATTTTTTATGTTTTTGGGAGAGACGCGGTTTTACCATGTTGGCCAGGCTGGTCTCGAACTCCTGACTTCAAGTGATCTGCCCGCCTCAGCCTCCCAAAGTGCTGGGATTATAGGCATGAGCCACTGTGCCCGGCCTTTAAGAATTTATTTTAAATGTATTTGATATGCACAGTAAATTTAATTTAATCAATTTCAGTTGATTCTCTTATTTTTTTCAGGTAAACAACCAAATTGCCTGAAAATACAGTTGACCCTTGAACAACCTAAGTTTGAACTGCTTGAGTCCACTATACTTGGATTTTCTTCTGCAAGACCACCTGCTCCTCTTCCTCTTCCTCCTCAGCCTCCACAACTTGAAGACCATGAGGATGAGGAACTTGATGACTATCCACCTCCACTTAATGAATAGCAAATATATTTTCTCTTCCTTATGACTTTCTTAATAACATTTTTCTTTTCTTTAGCTTACTTTATTGTAAAAATACAGTATCTAATACATATAACATACAAAATATGTGTTACTTGGCTGTTTATGCTATTGCTAAGGCTTCTGGTCAACAGTAGGCTGTTGGAAGTTAAGTTTTAGAGGAGTCAAAAGTTATACTCAGATTCTTACCTGCACTGGGCTGGGTCCCCCTGACCCCCATGCTGTTCAGCTTTCCACTATAATGGTGATTTTGTGTATCCTTTTATAGCTCTCATTTCTTTCTCTTGTGTAATTGTTTTGACCAGTGAGCAGAAAGAACAGAGCTAACACAGGCGACCTGAAACTGCTTTCTTTAGAAAGGCCTGCTTGCAAGGTTGGCCTATGGCTGGTGTCTGGAAACAGATTTTGGGAGGGGTACCACCGTTAACTGACTGATAAGGGTGACTCACTGTTCCTAAATTATACAAACAGAACAACTGATGCTGAGCATCTCTTTTCTTCTGAGATTCTGGAATTTGGATATTTGCCAGGCAGAGATGCTGTGTGACCAAACCCCAATAAACACTCAGGGTTCTGAATCTTTTTTTTTGAGATGGGACCTTGTTCTGTTGCCCAGTCTCAAGCGCTGTGGCCAGTCTTGTCTTATTGCAGCCTTGACCTCCCAGGCTCAAAGGATCCTCCCTGCTCAGCCTCTGGAGTAGCTGGGACTCGAGTTGTACTCCACCACCCCCAGTTAATTTTTGTGTTTTTTTTTGCAGAGACAGGAGATAGGATTTCGCCATGTTGCTCAGGTTGGTCTTGAACTCCAGGGCTCAAACGATCTTCCTGCCTTAGCCACCCAAAGTGCTGGGATTACTGGTGTGAGCCACCCTGCTCGGCAGGGTATTGAGTCTTTAATGGGCTTCCCTGTTGGGCTGCATCTTGAATGTGTTGTCACAACTCCTTGCTGGGGGAATGACTCCCCTAGGTGAGGACCCTTGGAATCTTGTGCCTGATTCTCTCTTGAACTTCCCCTTGACCTCTTCCTTTTGCTGATTGTGCTTGCTACCCTTTTGCTGTAATAAATCTCAGCCCTGAGCACAGCTGTCTACTGGGTCTTGT